TAACGTCACAAGGAGACAATTTTTAAGTAATTCCTTTAAAAAAATGAAGACGGGATCCTTTACTCGTCTTTTCTGACATTTCTGACATTTCGTTGGCTGAAATCGATCACGGCTCATTGTGCTGTCCTGAGTGTAAGCATCGTCTGTGGCAGATTAGAGCCGATATTCCATTTATTTGGTTGCTAATTAATCTGTTGATTGTTTTCTGGACGAATCAATCAGCTGTTTGGTTTCTACCAGATCAGGAAATGATGGAAAAAGATCTTCAGTTTACACTCAGATGATTAAAGTATTAAATTATTCATGATTATTTCCTGATATTTCACAGCTTCTGATTTTCATTGTAAAGTCGTGTGTTGATTAATTGATCAGCTGTTTGGTTTCTAAAATGTCAGAAAATGGGTTTTTTTTAATGGCCTCCAAAAAATGTCTGGTTTCAACCCAAAGAGCTTCATTTAAGATCACAGAGGAGGAAAGAAAGCAGAAAACATCCACACTGAAGGAGCTGCAATCACAGGATTTGAATGTTTGCTGATTGATTGATTAGTTGCCGACTAATTGAGCAACCGTTGCAGCTCTTGTTGCCGTTCTTCGCTGTGAGAGTTCACACGCTGCTCGCTTCACGCTGACCTCTTCCACCTTCCACCCCCTCTCTTCTTCTTCTTCTTCTCCTTCTTTTGGTGCAGGGTGGAGGAGGGGACCAGCGGCAGTAGAAAATGGCTGCCATGACGACTGTGCCCAGCTACAGCCCCTCTCTGTGGGTGCGGGTGTGCCACGCCCTCCCCCGGCTGGACCTCACCATGCAGATGAGGGACAACATCTTCGTCCCGGACAGCTGGGAGTACCAGCAGGTAGCCGCCGCCCGCCTCCTCCTGCAGGACAGCTCGTTAGATGTTCAGGAGCTCCTGATTAGAATCGGGGGCAGTTTGCTCCGAGTCGCTCTGCAAGTCGCTCCATAAATCAGGAGCAGTTGGAGCGACCTGCAGGGCCTCGGTGAAGCCGCTTTTGTATTTATTGACCTGATTATTGCGCGGGAACTTCTCACCGGTGCAGACTGGAGGTGTTTTATTCAGTCTGGAGCGGATTCAACGTGGTCCAGTCGTCCAGCAGGTTCTGTTTGTGCAGCAGAAAATGCAACACACACACACACACACACACACACACACACACACACACACACACACACACACACATTAAGTTGTAGCAGCAACATCACCCTATAGTTCAGATTAAGGGCAGTTTGCTCCTAACTACTAGATAAATGCTCCATAAGTCACCAGAGCGACCTGCAGAGCATCGTGGTGACTCCCACACTGTTTATTGACCTAATTATTGCGCTGGAGCTTCTTAACGGTGCAGACTGGAGATGTTTTATTAAATGTGCTGCAGATTCATCACGGTGGCGTCCAGCAGGGTTACGTCGTCTGCATGACTCAAAATACTGTAGAACTGTAGAAACACGGTGAACTTCTGGCAGCTGGAGCAAAAACCAACAAACAGCACATTCACATACAGACACACAATATGTTATATATCAGGAATATGATTATAGAATTAGATGAAGGGCAGTTTGATCCAAATCACTGAAAGTAATTGCTCCATAATCACTAACTGTTGGAGCAACCAGCAGCTCCTCTGCTTCATGTGTATTTATTGACCTAATTATTGCACCAGAACTTCCTGACTGTACAAGCTGGAGCTGTTTTATGCAACTTGGTGCAGAGCGAGATTCAACATGATGTGAGTCCTCCAGCAGCTTTATATTGTCTGAACGGTCCTGTTTCTGCAGCGCAAAATGGTACACACACACATATACACATGCATGTATATATATATACATACATACCAATGAATATAGATCAGGAACATCCATCCATCCATTATCTATACGCAGCTTAATCCTCACGAGGATCGTGGGGGGCTGGAGTCGATCCCTATATCAGGAATATGATCCAATAATTAGAATAAACAGCAGTTTTATCCAAAACCAGAACTTGCTCTTCTTATTTGTGCAAATTGGAGCTTTTTCATGCAACTTGGTGCAGAGCGAGATTCAACGTGATGTGAGTCCTCCAGCAGGTTCATCTTGTCTGCACAGCCGTGTTTCTGCAGCAGGAAATGGAAAAAAAAACTGTGAAAATATTCCAGCAGCTAGAGAGAAAAAATACCACAAAAAACAAACAATACTCACACATATATATATATATATATGTACAAATGAATATATATCAGTATTATGATCCTATAATTAGAATAAAAGGCAGTTTGCTCCAGAACCAGACCTCACTCGTCTTAACTGTGCAAACTGGAGCTTTTTCATGCAACTGGGCGCCAGGTGGTGCCGAGCCAGATCCAGCATGGTGTGGTTCCTCCAGCAGGTTTATATTGTCCACGGTTTCTGCAGCAGAAAATCCAAAAATAAAAAATAATTCCAGCAGCTGGAGCGACAAAAACACACACACACAAAAAAAGGGGGAGTTTGCAGCAAATCAGTCTGAACATCGCTGCATAAATCAGCGGCTGTAAGAGGAACCTGCAGAGCCGCGGCGACGCCGCTTACAGGCCTCAGAAACCCGTTTATTGACCTATTTATTGCACCGAAACTTCCTAACTGTGCAAACTGGTGCTTTGTTATGCAGTTTGGCGCAGAGCTGAGATCCAACGTGGCAGCAGCAGGTTGTTGTCGTCTGCAGCAGGGAAACCAGAATTACAAAAAAACCTGTGAAAACACGATAATAATCCAGCAGCCGGAGCAAAAGCAATCAAGAAAGAAATAGAATATTATATATGAGAATATCATCCTGTAATTAGGACATTTGCTCCAAATCCCTCTTTAAATTGCTCCACAGATCAATAAGTGGAGGAGCAACCTGCAGAGCTCGTCTCATACCTGCTCACTGAGCTCATTACTGCTCTGAAGCTCGCTCTTCTTAACTGGAGCTGCTCTGCACACGTTGGTGCAGAGCTGAGATCCAACATGGCGTGATTCCTCCAGCAGGTTGCCATTGTCTGTTTCTGCAGCACAAAATGCAAGGTTTCATCCTCTCCTGCACACAAACGCTCAGCTAACAGTCTCGCAGTGTTTGTGACTTCTCTGCGGTACAAAGTGGGGGAGGTGGGGGGGACGCAAATTATCCTGCAGAACAGAAAGACAAAAGAGAGGGAAAGTGCTGCGAGAGGAGAGAGGAGAGAGGAGAGAGGAGAGAGGGAGGCTGGCGAGCAGAGAGCTGGGCAGAGACGAGAGTGGGAGCGAGAGGCAGTGAATGTATTTAAGTAGGTCACAGATTATTAATAGAGATTCAGTGGTGTGGATAGAAAGGAGGCGAGGGGAGAGTGGGGGAGAGTGGGGGAGGAGCTTCAGGGGAGCAGGAGGTGAGGCTGAGAGGAAGGTGGAGGAGTGACGGACGGCCAGATGGACGCAGGATAAAGCAGATATGTGTCGGAGCGAAAAGCATTTCAGCAACGTTGACTGTGTGACACCGGAGCTGAAGTGTGATGTGGCTTAGAGGCGGTGAGAGCAGCGAGGCCTCGGACACGTCGGGGTTAAAGCTCCGGAGGAGGACGGAGGGTGGAGGTGGATACAATAAAATATACTGTAATATATCCATGTACATGTATACACAACACATGTCTTATAAATATGAGGAAAAAATGCATCTTGATACAAAATACCGACTGATTGAAACTTAATTTTTCGCTCCAGCTGCTGAAATGCCACCATATTTGTAGTTCTTTTTTTTAATTATAGTTTTTTTAGTGACAGAAGTAAATCACTCATTTAAATCTGTCCCCTTCCCGTCTTCCTTTTTGACACGTAAAGCTCCAGTAATATTCTGGCAGCTGAAGCGGAACAAACTAAAAACAACAAAAACTGTAAAATAATGGAAAATAACCATCTCGTAAAATTCTCAATGTTTCCATAATATCTCTATATATGAATTTATATATATATGCATGCTGATTAAAATACATTCATGACACTCATAAAAACTCCTGTAAGTAAGAAAAACAAAGAAAAGGCTTTTTCAAAAGTAAACCACTGATGTAAATTTCTCTGTCTTCCATCTTTCCAAATGCATGTTTGTAAATCAACTATTTAGACAAAATGAATATTTATTCAGCTGAAAATATTTTAAAATTTGTCTTCTAGAATTAAAATAAATGTTCTAGCCTTAATATTTAGGCTTTTAATTATATTTATAGAAATATATTTCCATATATTTATTATATATTATATTGTTAATATAATAATAATAATTCAAAAATTATGTTATTAATTACTAATTAGAATTTTTTTTATTTGAAAAAAGATCTGTTTTGATTTTTCTACAGTTTTTTCTGTAAATTTACCGACACAAAGGGATCAAGTACAGAATTTTTTTAAATGTAATTTTTAACACAAATTCAAAAAATATTTCTGTAACATTTCTGTTTCTCTTCAAGTAATTTTCTTTTTCTTTGTCAATAAAGAAAATTTACAAATTAATGAAAAATTAGCTCTATACTGTATTTTAGAGGTCACATAATTTTTCTCTTTTACAATGGTGTTAAATAAATTACCTTCCATTTACCTGTAGTATATAATAGTTTAAATAATAATAAATATATCTTATAATAGCCACTAATTGTTTACATGAATAAACTTTTAATTAACAGTTTCTTCTATTACATAAGAAAATTATCATCCAATTAATTTTTCCTTTAAAATAAATGTACATTTTATGGCTGCTCACAGTTCTATAGTTTATAATTGACATCAGACGTTATGTTTTCAGACTCTCATTGATATTTGACATAAAGAAGATGTCAGATTCCAGATCTACGGCGTGTTTATTGGACGTTTCTGCCTCTTTGAAGCTCATAATTCTTCCTCTCACACCTTTTTAATCACGCCTCCTGCTGTGAATGTGGGCGAGTCGCTGTGACGAGGCGACAGAGTTTAACAGGATTACTTGGTGTTTCTCTGCTGCTCTTCTATTCCTGTAAAAGTTTTTTGTTTTAAACAACTTTATTTAACAAGTGCACATGTACAAACAGCACGTTGGAGGATTAAACAACAACGACAAAGGTGCATCTTAAAGAAGTGCATAAAAAATGAAAAAATCAAGATGAGTTACACAAAAAAGAAAAAGAATTCGGGCTTATTTTCTAATACTTCAATACTGTTGTTTTATTTTTCACAACTTTGTGGGTTTTGACATGTAAAAGAAATTCATTGTGAAACACAGTAAATCTGGGTTTGACCTTCAGGAAAGTTGATTTATGGATAAAAAATGTACCAAAGGTTAGGATATAATGAACCATCACTGTTACAGCCCATTATTAGTCCAGTAATGATGTCCTTTGAGAGGAAATTATTGAGATGAGGAATCTCTGGACCCAGTCATGAAGGTCCGGCCAGAACGCTTCAGAACACATACAAGTTCAAGTTTTCCACTTTCTCCCTCTCTCCAGACCCTGCTGGTGCTGTCCAGTTTGTCGGCCATCGCTCTGGTCGTCTCGCTCCTCGTGGTCCTGTCCTTCCTCATACACTACTGCTGCTGTCACCGTGGCGACCGGAGCGAGGGCTCGGAGGAGGAGGAGGAGGACGAAGACGGCAGCACGGGTCACGGCTACAGCGGGAAGAAGGGGCGGGGCATCTGCTGCGTCACCTGGGTGGCGGTCGCCGCGGTGACGCTGTGCTGGTGAGGACTCACCTGTTCACCACAACACAAACACACAAACGTGTCGCAAGAAGTGTTCAAGAAAAGTACTCCATTACAAGTAAAAGTACTCACTTACAGTCGTCCTCAGATGTGTTCATAGCCTCCCATTAAAGAAGGAAAACAACAGCTTCAGTCACTGGAATACGCTGAAATTGACAAAAGTAATAATAAATAAAAAATTGATTTGAATTGTGGTTCAACAGAAATATTAAAAAAAAACAAAAAAACAATCAAACCAGCCTGATGGGACCCATGAACTACTATCTAGTTGAGCAACCCTGTGAGCCAATCACTGCCATCAGGTGTTTCCTGTAGCTCTCAGTCAGACTTGTGCACCTGTTGACAGGTATTCTGGACCACTGCTCATCAGCAAAGGCCTCTCATTGGTCCAGGACTGTTTTGTTTGTTTTTTTAAAAATTATTCTTTTCAATTACAATTCAAAGCAATGTCTTATTTCACTAAATTATAATTTAGCAAATTTTTATTTATTATTACTTTTTTCAGTTTCAAAATCCAGGAGCTCTGGAAAACATCGTAAATTTAGTTCTTAGCGTTCAGAACCAGCTATGGGTCATGCAGTGAAGCCTGTTGAGAGGCAGTTAAATAAAGTGTCATGTCGTCTGCATAGAGATGCACTTCAGCTGTTGACTCGCCCTTTACGAATGTCATTTCTAAAACAAAACTAAGTAAAACTGGAGCTAAAACTGAATCTCAGGAGATTCCCGTACTAATCTCCATAAACTTGTGTCCTTCTGGATTTCATCTGACGTAATAATAAAACTTTACTGTGATGGAAACAGACACTAACAGCTTGAGATGAGAGGTTTTTCTGTGAGGAATATTTAAGTGCTCTCTGTCTGAATGGCATCACTTGAACGGATCGATGAAGCAACAATGGTCCACGTCTCATTTCTCAAAATGTTCTCAAGGACCGGAAAGAGAAGTCCATTTGCTTTTTATTGAAGCCCTCTGGATTACCACGAACTGGACGATGAGAATCTACACAGAAGCTTATGTTTGTTGGATGGTAGTAAGATGGACGAGGGTCCTTTTTATCAGCTGGATCTCTTTTCAACCGTGGAGGTGAAGGAGGGACGGTGTGAATGAAGAACGTGTCTGAAATTCTTTGATGGAAATCAAAAATATCAAGATGAAATCCTCACAATCTTCTTCGTCACATGAAACAACAACAATCCTCCATTCTGACTCTTTCATGGATTCACTTGAGGTCTTTGGAAATAGGACAAAATCTGCTGGGTCAAAAATATACGTACAGTAACGAGAATGACCAGATTTGGTGATGTAGAAAGTTGTGTTATTCAGAT